AGTCTCTGTGTCGCATAATCTGCAGCTTACCATGAGTTTGTGTGGAAATTTGTTCCCAGTACTCTTTGCGTTTTCCTCGAATCCAGCCTGCTATTCGGTTTCTGATTGTTCCCTCTTCTCCTGACATTCTCCTTCTCTTCACTTCTCCTCTTCAAGGTTGTTAAGTTCTTCGCGACATTCCCATACCAGTTTGGATGTAATACTTGGATTGGCCAGAGCTCCCAAGGTTGTGTGACTGTGTAGATATTTATCAGCTTATTTGCATAAGCCCTCATTTTGTTATCCTTGTACAATGCAGGATTGCATAGATCGCTTTCTGGAACTCAGATGTGTACTTTCCCAGAGGGACTGAACTGTAGTTGTTCCTATCACCACTGTATACTCCTGCTCCCGAACCATCCTCAGTTTTTGAACATATGTATACCATTTGTGGCCTCCAGGCTTTGAATGTCTTTTAGGGTCATTCCATACCTCTCTTATTATTAGCTCCACCTAGAAAGGTATCTTGATGCATGTTATCTGAATTCGTGAATGATATATGTGGGCGTCATGTGGGGATCCTCAGTTATAATCATGATGCAGTGGCCCCATCTAACTGGAACATTGCCTAGACTTTCTTGCAGTCTATATTCACCCATATTCGATTTTTCCTTTTCTATATTATGCCAGGGAGGAAGTTCCAATAGAGTTTTCATTGTTGCAGTTGGAGTCCTTCTCACATGTTAAGGAAGCAAGTTAATTGCTTTAATATTCAATTTTTTGTTGCACCTTTGAATCGATAGTAACTCCGAGATTTTACATCTCTCTCCACCTTCAGAGTAATAAATAAGATTATTTAATGTCCTATGGTAATGTTTTTATTCTTGTGAAGATTAATATTTTGGACTTTTGAGAACTTATGCATATTCCTACCTCTCTGGTTCATATTGATACTACATTCTACATTCAAAGCCTGTTGCATTTTATTCCTGACTCTTGTGTTAAACTTGCCTTGTACTAGTGAAACAAAGTCATTAATATAGCCCAAGAGTTGATGACCTTTTCTGTTAAGTGTCCATCAACCCATCCATAATCCGATTCCACAGCAGATGTGATAATACTCCTCCCTGCGGGCATTCACTGGCAGCCTGTGCTGACATGGTCTCACCTAGCAACCATAGTCATGATGAGATATACATTGAAATTTTTTTCTTTGTATAGTTCGAAGCAAATGCGATAGGTACTTGAATGAAAACCATTTCACTTTAAAAATACACTTCATATCCGTGAGCAACTGTTTGCATTAAATATACTTCTGAAAAATTGTCCCGACCAACAGAAACATATTTATGTAGCTTTCATTAATCGCGAAAAAGCTTTTGATAGGATACAGCATGGAACACTCCTGAAAATATTAAGAACCAAGGGTAGTGATGATAGAGATCTGGAAACTTGTTTTGGAAGTAGAAAGCAGTCATTCGAGTAGATGAAAGGCCAACCAAAGAATACTAAAATCCGCAAGGAAAATGAAATACCTGTAGTTGGCTGTTTACCACGACCATAAAAACTTTTATTTCGGACTAATAAGGTCCTTTCATCAGTGGATTACCTAAATAAGTGATTCACATTTGGTGACAGGCATAAATATGGGGATTATAATTGTTGGTGTTAGTATTTTAATTAATCGTATTTGTTAGTATTGTTAATTAATACATTTTTGTTTATTAATATTATTACTTAAAAAGTAAATCATTTTATTGATTGTTTTAGTTATAGTTTGTTTTAGGCTACACTATTTAGGGGCTTCACTCGTGTATACCTGTATTGACACTTATTTTAGGTAACCGCACTGATACTGGACTTTAGTCCGATAATGTTCTGTGATGTTAAGGGAATTTTAAAAGTTTTTAAAAAATGTCAACGGGGCATCAAAGCGGGAACAGTTCGCCAATGTAATTGCCAACGTTAGAAGAAGCTGATATGGCACCGAAAGAAGAAGACAATAATACTGTACGTTAATAGTGCATTTAACTAACTAAACAGTGTGACCTTGCCAAAGTTATGTATAGAAGCAGGTTAATCTGTGCGGCATTGCAAGGTCTATGGTTGTATATGCATTTTTGTCGTTCCAATCTTATATATTGTAGCGAAATGTCGAGATGAACCCAACACGCGCTACATCGGCTAGTATATATGGTATGGACCACTGGTTGCCATCGTTGCATTTTGAGCATTTGGATCATGTTGTCGATGTCATGAGTAGGGGAGCATGAACGTTGAGATATTGCTTGGGTTAATCGCTATCTTGAGTTGGGCTGGAACCGTATCATAGTTGTAGCTTTAACGTAAACATTTAAGGTTAATGCTTTGTATACTTATTCTATTTATTTGTTAATAGGCTAAATGTAGATTCAAATAGGTATTGTCGTTATGTTTTGGCTATTGTGGACTAATGATTTAATTATTTATATAGCGTCCTTTGGTACAGTTACTAAATAATTCATAATTTAATAACACTGGATACAATACATATAAACTAAACTATGAATAAACTTGAAATAGAAAATTGATATGTTCGAATATGAAATATCATATTCGAACAATTCACATTTACCCTAATTTCCAACGTTTTCTAAAGAAAAAAATTTCAGTTTTTGAATCTGTGACCGTCTTGGTCTACCTCATATTCTTCTAGTGGGCTGAGTCCATTTTTCTACCTTTCTATCTTTTTTGCCCATCTATTTTCAGCAATTCATAGTCTTTTAGCTTCAAATGTGTCTATTATGTCTAGATCAATTTCCATTGCTCTCTGAATATATCTGTTCCTCGTCCTATCAAGGAGTGAGCTAACAATGTTGTCTCCAAAATTTCATTTCCATGGCCATAATTTTTGATTTATTTCTTTGATTTGTTTCCTAGAGTTGGCGCCGTACAATCCAATACTCTCTATTATTGGTTTATAGATTCTTCTTTCAATTTCTTTTGTTATTTTATTACGCCACAACAGTCTGCATAACTGTCTAGTAGCTGATCGTGTTTGGCTAATACTGGAATATATGTCTTGGTTAGTTCCTAATTTTGATATTATTTGGACTGCCAAGTATTTAAATGCTTCCGTTGATTAGGTAGTTCCCATTTCAATATGTAGGCTTTCTGGTTCTACCTTGCAACTAAGTACTCCGTTTTTTTTAATATTAATTGTAAGGCTTCACTTGGTGTACTCCTCTTCCAGTTTTTAAGCATATAGTCTATATCACTCTCGTCTTCGGCTAGAATGGCTTGGTCTTAAGTGTATCATGTACTATCAATGTATCATGTACTATCTCTCATCTTCGATTGGGATGCCCATATTGCAGCAATCCCTCTTCACACTGAGAGCGCCTCATTCAGATACATTTTGAAGAGTGCTATGTGCTAAGAGTAGGTAATGCAGCAGCCTTGCTTTAGACCCTTGCTAATAGAAATTTCTCTGGCTAATTTGGTGCCAGTTTTAATGTTTGTCGTCATTTTTGTAAAACTGTTAAACTACTTTTAAATTTCTTTTGTTTATTCCTTGTTATTTCATTACTAGCCACAGTACTAAGAGTGGTATACTATCGTATGATTTTGTCAGGTCTATAAAGACTATATGAGTTGAAAGATTGTGGGCTAACCGTTTCGCAATAACATAGAGTAAGGTAAAAATATTATAATCTTAAGTAATATTACAAACAAAACAAAATTATTTTAAATTTTCGGTATACATGTTAATTCCAAATAACAGTCTTCCAAATATTAACTTGCTTTGCTTTTATAATATAAAAAGTTTCGTCTTGTAATACATAATGGTTGGACAGGATCACCATATAATAAAGGTTCCTCTTCTCAGCACTTTTATCTTTATTATAACACATCTTTATTTATAAATACTTAATTAAAGTTAAAGAGAACTGCATCTCGACCTCGAAGTTATCAGCCCTACTTATTAGCCTAATTTAACAACGCAACTCTACAACTCAACTCTCATTTCTCAATTCTTCTCAATTCATTGTTTAACATTTTTATATTTGTCCCGGGCGTCCTGCTTCCTGATTTAAAATAATTCCAATTATACAATGAGAGATGTAAAACATTATTTCAGAATTTTAATATATTATTAATATCACAATTTGCCTACAATACGTCAAATCGTCCATTGTACCGAAAAGAAACAATAAATTGAACGAAGAAATTTGGACAAGTGACTAGCGTGTCGTAATTCCCCTACTTTGTTCTAAGCGAGTACCTAAATAGATACATTATTTATGTGAATCCAAAAAATGGGTTTCCTTATCAAACATAGACAATGTGTGGGTTGTATGATAATGTAAGATAATCATATAATGTTTATTAGATTGCTTCCATCAGAGAGTTCCATATAGTGGAACTCTAGGGATACTCATAATTACTTTATAGGTTCTCTAAGTACGATAATAGAGAAAGTACCCAGTTGACGGATGACAACACTAGCTTCGAGGGTTAACTCTTAATTCTTAATGATCTACTCCCGTTATTTTCCGAGGTATTTAACTCACGTGCGTTTGTTTTTACATCCGTGTTTTACTAATATAATTTGTACACAATATTAAATAAGCTTTTAATTACAATGCAAATTTCACTAGGTCAGCGCATCGGTAAGCGTGTTCTAGTTACACGGACATTTTCAATGCCATAAACAAACAATTGCATTGAGCAATAATCAATGGTTAATATTATAAAAAGGATTTTAAATTTTTAAACTGAATTGTGTTACTTAGATCTGATCTCTGGATGCTTAATTAAATCCCGTTACAGTTGCAATATGTGTAAAAAAAGTTAATAACTACTGCTGACGTAATTAGCATCTAGACCCTCCCCACGTATCATCAAAAATAAGCAAAAGCAAAGACTCCCCCTAAATACTGCTTACGCAATACTTGAACAACTCCAATGTTTCAATCGTCATTTACCTAGAGACACCACTCAGCTAACCAATCTGCTAATTTGCGATTAATCTGTAGCAGTTTAGTAGATATACTTCAATTGGTAAAGTGATTTAATATAATTTACATATATTTTAAATAAAAAAGTACTTACAAAGACACAGTGATTAATTCCAAAGCCCAATTGGAGAAACTAATGTCAATGCCACTAAATATTCCTGTTGTTCCCACAGCCAGAAGGTACTCCTTCCATCCATAACTAACAGTCTGTTTATTTTGCTTTTTAAAGAAAACTATTCGGATAAATGCAGCTAAAAGGAACTTTACACACATATGTATTATGACTGTAATTAATGGAAACTTGAAGCTCTGAAAAAAAAATACTTTTTATTTATAGAATCATAAATATTTACATTACAATATAGTGAGAGCGTCCACCAAAGTGGCGTGGCACGTGGCAAGTAGCACGCGTCTAGCATATTTTTTAAAATGTAACCAATGAAAACGAATGATTCAGCGCACATCAAAATGACAGTGACGTCATTCATTCTAATCATTCGTTTTCATTGGTTACATTTTAAGAAACATGCTAGACGCGTGCTCTAAGTGAGAGCGCCCACTAAAGTGGCGTGGCACGTAGCAAGTAGCACGCGTCTAGCATGTTACATAAAATATAACCAATGCAAACGAATTATTAGATCGAATGACGTCACTGTCATTTTGGTGTGCGCTGAATCATTCGTTTTCATTGGTTACATTTTAAGTAACATGCTAGACGCGTGCTACTTGCTACGTGCCACGCCACTTTGGTGGGCGCTCTCACTTAAAGGTCGATTCAGACACATCAGTCCCGTCACAGTCCCGGCGCCGAACCGGTCCTGTTTGGTCACAGAACTATAAATTATCTGACAGCTGGGAAACTGTTCGTCGCCTGATGAATGTGAATGCCGGCGCCATATTTCTATTAAAGAATATTTTGTATGACGGATTGTTCGGTTCGGCGCCAGGACTGTGACTGATGTGTTTGAATCGACCTTAACTCACAACTTCTCGCGAAGAGAGACATCGGTTCCGGATCAGTGTTGCCACATATCAATAAATTTACTAATTCTCGGTAATTTGGTAATAAGGTTTTACTGTAAGTTTAGCGTCAAAATACTCAAGGTATAATTACAAGGTATAATACAAGGTATAATATTTTACATTATTATTGCATACATATATTGTTATTGTACGAGAAGGGGAGCGGTGAAAATAATTATGGAAAATTGGGTCGCTAATGGTAAAAGGTTAAGAAACGCTAGAGTAAGCCTTGGATTATTCCATATGAAAGATTGTTGCAAACTTTGCTTTGATATATTTCAGTTTCTAATCTAATTTGAGCCTAATGTCACAACATAGAATGTTCTATTATCACTTTCTCAATTGTGTGTATGTGTGCTGTTGGTGTTTTTGATTTTGGAATAATTCCTCATCTCCTGAATTTAAATTTCTTAATTACTTCTTTGATGTCTTCTATAATTGTATTCAACATTTCAATTTTTTTTTTTTAATGAAATGTTTAATCAATCATGAAATCATTATGCTGTTTCTCCATGGTATCTTGAAGTGCAATATTAGTTTTTGTATAAGTTTTGTCATCTCTAGGGTTATACTTTCTCCTACGTGTTCGTACTTAGAAGTTCGTTGGTTATTCCATCTGGTCCTTATGCCTTTCTATTTTTGAGTGAATTTATGGCTATTTCTACTTTCTAAAAACTGATTTCTATTTCGTGTCTTAATTCAGGTAGGTACGTTATTGTGTTGATTATTATTATCCTTTGCTTTATACAGTTCCGCCATTTATCTTTCCCATTCGTTTGCTGGTATGATATTGTATTCCTTCAATTCTACCATTTCTTTCCGTTAATTTTTTATGAATCTCCATATTTGTTTTTGTGTACTGTAGAAGTCGCTTTCCATCCTTTTTGTAAACTGTTCCCAGTGTTCATTTTTTATTCTTCTTACCACCACTCTGTTCCTTTGAAAAGTGCAGCAAAAGTGAAAAGTTTAAAAGTAAAACACCTTCTCAGAGGGTGACTATCTACAATTGTTACACTCGTCTTGTGCAGTATCGGCTTTGGTATCAGCCAACCGAATTTGATAATTATTTGGCTGTCAGATGAGTGTTTGTTTACAAAATCAATCTTTTTGTTTTTAGTTTAATTTAAATTTAAAAAAATTAAAAAGCTTTTAGTAATTTTAAAAACTAAAGTACCTACAATTTTTAATTTAAGTAATTAAATTTTTTATTTTGTTGTAATTGAGTTGATAATTCATCCCTCATTTTTATATATATTTTTTTAAAGATACCTAGCTAATTAAAATAAAGTTTATTTAATTTAAAGAATGAAAATCGAAAGTAGAAGAAAACAAAACAAAAAAATCTAAAGATAAACAAGTCGTAAAATAGCCTGACTTAAATCGCAACTCAAAGGTTAACTACACTATAACGATTCTTTTTTAGTGTCACAGCCATGATTTTCGTTTGACACTAACCAGTGTAGCTTTTACTTAACTACACTTGAAAGTGCTACACTAGAAAACAAAGGAACATACCTACATACATTGCAACTCCACTGAACACAATTCACTCTCTAAACAGTGTCCTGTATTTAAACATCAATATAAAATCAAATCAATCATGGCTTTAGAAAATACTACTTTTACAGAGGCAGAAACCATAACTAATAATCCATCCTACGACAAGGTGACTACCAATAATAGATTTGATATTTTCAATACTATACAATATTTCCCTGCCTTAACCCCCAACGTCCTTGAAGGTACAAATCAAAATCAATCCTATGTATTTACTAAAAAAAAAAAGAAACAAGCTTAAAGCTACCTCTCTTTCTGTACTGAAAAATCCACCAACTTTTCAAAGATTTCACAATGCTAAAAATACCTCATCCCCACCGGGACGAGTTTATGGCTTATAAAAAATAGAATGTAAAATAATTCATGAAATTCCAGCCTTTGTAAAAAATATTATTAAGAAAATTAACCCTTTCCAAAAATTCAAAAGAAGGAAATGAAATAATGTTGATCAACCTAGTAGATATTGAAGGGATAGAGAACAACATGACATTTAACATACTTCAGTGGGTCTGTCAATATATAAATAAACATAAACCCCTTGAGAACAATATTGTTGATGTAATTTTGCTTAATGAAACATGGCTTTCTCAAAAAAAAAAAAATTTGCTTTAACAGATTACTACATGATCACAAGCGATTGACCTGATGATTAAGGTGGTATAGCCATCCTCATATCAAATAACCTTTGTTTTACTTAAATTAAAGTAACTAATAAATGTATTGAAACGTGTGCAGTTTTATAGAACAAATCAAATTGGTAATTGTTTGCATTTATAAACCACCCAAATTAGTAGTAGTTACTTGTAGAAATTGGGAAAAACTTTTAACTCAATTTAGTGTTAAGGTTTTTATTGGTGTGGATTTCAATTGACACAACAGTAAGTGGGGTTCCTTGAAAGATTTCGCTAAGGGCAAGTGTATAGTTAACTCACTAGATACTAGTAATTTAGTTTTGCTACACGACTGTAGACTGACCAAAGTAACAAGACCTAATAAACTTCCATCAATGGTGAATATATTCCTTGTTACATCTAATCTAATTGGATACACTACACGGGATCCTGTTCCCGATACTCTGGGTTCAACTCACCCATGAATATCACCCATGCACAATAATTCTTCTTCTTCTAGTTCCATGACCTTTATCGATCATTGGATATCATGTTGGCTACCATATTCGCTATCGTGACTTTATTGACAGCAGCTCTAAATAACAATGTAGTTGATTTTCCATACCATTGCCTTAGATTTTTCAGCCATAATGTTCTTCTTCTACTAGGACCACGATTACCTTGGATCTTTCCCTGAATGACCAGATGTAAAAGATCATATTACACAATATTTCCTTACCTCTAAATGAAAAGAGTCTTCACCAAACTGGAATATCTTTAAATGTCACATACAAAAAACATTGTCTACAAATATAACAAATAATATCGCTTCAGCAGAACGTTTTGACTTTCCTTTAAAGATAATTGATGATGCTGCCTCATTTTCTATAAATATCAAAAATTCTTTTCAGCCAAAATCTCAAATTCCAGTATGGTGGGATTATGAATGCAAAAATATGATCATTTTACGAAAACTTGCACAAAAAAGTTATATAGAAGTATCAAATTTTGAAAACTATATTAAATACAAACAGATTCAAGCCACAAATACAATAACACATTGAACAACAACAAAAAAATTTGTGGATTAACTTTGTGAATACTTTAAACTAGTGTTATATAAAAATGTTAATAAACTAGTGAATAAAAATCATCATTATAGAGGATATCATTTGATAGAGGCTATCAAGATGATATCCTCTATCAAATGAATTAATAGAACAGTTGCTCGATAAATTTTCTCCGCCATATGTTGACCTTCCTATTCAGGATAACAGTAAAACAGAGATAACAGCATATTAGATTATATTTGTACTAATCTACATCCAGATTTAGCTGTGTGCAGAGTGATTCCCTATTTTTCATCACATCATGAACCCATTTTATTTGAATTTCCTTTTAAGAATCCACCTTATACATCCAGATGGGGTAGGATTTTCAGCAAAAGTAATTTTGACAGGTTATCAAATTATGTAATCAGGAAGATAGAATAATATTTTTTGCTCTCCTGATTTACTTCATCAATTTTATCACACTCTCATGAAGATTTTCAATTTAGCATTTCAAAAGAGTTCTTAAATTGAAAAGTAAAAAAACTTGGGTTACTAAAGAAATTGGTATTTCCTGCAAAAACTGAAGATGGTTAAATTACATTAAAAAATATATAATATGCAATGATGAATTTTTGATATATTTCTATAAATATAGGTCCATATATAGGAAGGTTAGTAAATTAGCCAAATGTATATCTTTTAAATCTAGAATGGAAAATGCCAATAATAAACAAAAGGAATCTTGGCGTATAGTTAATAATCTTAGAGCTAAAGTTCCCCAAACTACTGATATAGTCTTAGACCCCAGTGAGCTGAATAAATATTACTACTTGGTAGATCCAGAACTATGGATCTACCAAGATCCATAGAAGAACAATGCATTTTTTAAATGGAGTAAACATTACAAATTTTATAGAAGGCATTAAAAATCTTATGGCTGCAGGTTGGGATGTATCCCATATAAAGTTTTATCCCTTCTTCCTTATAATGTTCTGAGGATTTTAGAGGAGGCAATTAACACATCTTTTTCAACGGGTCACTTTAGCGATTGTTTAAAATGTGCTAAGATTATTTCTCTGTATAAATGTGGTGCCATGATTTACCTGCTAATTATCGTCCTATCTCTTTGTTACTGTCGCTTTCAAAGGTTGTAGAAAAATTGGTAAAAATCCGAATTGTGACTTTCTTACAAACACACTATTTGCTTTCTTCCTTCCAATTCGGTTTCCAGTCATTAAAAAGTATATATGATGCCATCTTCAAATTCATGGAAAAACTATAATTGGACTTAAATAATGATTATGTTGCTGCCGCAGCTTTCTGTGATCTATCTAAAGTCTTTGACTCTGTCAATCATAAAATACTTCTTAATAAACTGGAAAGATATGGTTGTAGAGACACTGCTCTAAAGTGGTTCAGTTCATACTTGGAAGACAGATGTCAGTCTGTATCAATCAATGAGCACTACTCTAGAAATATCTTTATTAATTGTGGAGTGCCTCAAGGCTCTGTCTTGGGTCCTATCTTTTTCTTGATATATTTCAACAGTATAACTAACCGCAACATTAATGGCCGGTTTACTATATTTGCAGATGACACCACAATTTTATGGCAAAACAAGGATTTTAAGGTACTGAGTATGATTATTAGTAGTAATATGCTAAAATTTTTAGAGTGGTGCAAAGCTAAGCATTTGACATTTAATTTTTTAAAAACCAAATTAATTTCTTTTAAGAAAGATCTAAACAACATTACTCTGGGCAATGAAGGTATTTGTTCTGACACTGTAAACAAATTTTTAGGTCTCTATATTGATAATAAACTTAAATTTGAGCAACACACTGTATATTTAAGCAAAAAGATTTCACCGGGTTGCTTTGCTATCAAATCAGTTGCTCACCATTTAGATTTCAAGATTGCAAAAAGTGTTTATGTGACCCTGTTTGCATCTAATTTGAGATACAGTATTGCCTTTTGGGGTAGCTGTTCTTTTCATCATTTCAGTAGAAATTTTATCCTACAAAAGAAGCACTCAGATATTTTTATATGTTTCGTACATCATGCAGGCCTCTGTTTCGGAAACATGGTACCTTGACACTTCCTTGCATGTATATTCTTGAATTAGTGTGCTTAATTTAAAAAAAAAACATAAAGAGAATATTCAGACAGTTTCCCCTTATAACACTTGTCTAAATTATATTCCACTTCCAATTCCCTCTTCTGCATTAATTAAAAAATCATTTATTTACACTGGTAAGAAAGTGTTTAATCACCTACCACTAGATATGAGAAGTTTTTATTATCTAAATGTTACTATAGTATAGAGGAATTTTAGTTGCACTAATTGATATATATTTTTTTAATTATGCGAATTTTATAATTAGTATTTTTATGTTTATGTATAGTTATGTTATAAATGTAAACTCATTTTAAGAACAATAAATATTTCTCTCTCTCTCTCTCTCTCTCTTTCTCTCTCTCTCTCTCTCTCTCTCTCTCTCTCTCTCTCTCAATGGCACCAAAAGAAATGGAAAAGGAGTGCTGACATCCATTCTGACCTTTAAAGAACAACTAAGCCATAATACCAAAGAACTAATATGTAAAAGAAGACAGCTGACGAAAAAAAAAACAGCTCCAACTACACAACAATGAAGAAATTAAATAAAGATATCTACCTGTCAATCTAAAAAGACATAATGAGAAAACAATGTACGAGAAATAATGAAGAACTATGTCATAGAACAAAAACAACAGATGTCATCAAAATAATGGCGTTGCTAAAATGGAATTGGGCAGGACATGTCGCCAGTTTATCAGACAACTGATGAAGAAAATATATTGTCGAGTGGAGACCAAGACAAGAAGCACTACGGAGCAAAAGATACCCACCAACCAGATAGACTGACGACCTGAAATGTGTTAGCAATTACTGGATGCAAGCTGCACAAGACAGAGACATATGAAAAGAACTGAGGTAGACCTATGTCCAGCAGTGGACACAGGGTAATGATGATAGGGTATGCCCATGTGAAAATACATCACAATGTGATATCAACCATATTCTTTTCAAGTGCGATAAATATTAAGTATGAAACAGATCAGCTGTATTCAAAACTATCAGATCTTAAAATTCAGACTCCCATAAACATCACCCATTTACTTTCCTTAGAGGTTAGTTACATTATTTAAAAACTATTACAATTCTGTGGTTAAATGACTAGCTTCCAAGCCAACTCTCCAAACAGACACACATTTAACAGAATTATTTAACACGCTAAATAGAGAGTAATATAATCATAAATTTCTTACCTTATACAGCCAGTTCTGATAAAAAGTTAGAGTAACAGAAGGAATGTAATAGAGTCCAATTAGGAACCCTGTAAAAAGGGATGACCAAAGACATGTTGGAGAACAGATTTTTCGTTTCATTGGTTCCAAATCAACTGTTTCCGGCTCATCCGTGTTATCTACCACTCTATATTTTGGTTTTTTATCGGTTTTGAACATATTGTAAGGAGTGTTGTTATCTTATCGATGTTGTGGATATTTGGTTCTGACCATTTTTGCGTTCTACGATGTGGATAGTGCACTTTATTTATTATTCTTATCAAAGCAGTTTTTCCTACAATTAGTGCATTTGTAGTTTAATTTATTTATTAGAAATAATATGTACATGTCATATTTTCTTCGAATTGGTTTGTTGTTTCTGCCAGTGCCAACGTCAATGTCATACACATGGCTGGACATGTTTGACATTGACATTGTCAAAATTATTGTAATCTATAAAAATATTTTTCTGAAAACCCTATTATTATGATTTGAATATCATGATTTGTATCATGTATTAATATCATATTTAATCAAAATTTTAAGTGGATAATGAACAACAAATTAGAAAATTATTTTTTAACCAATGACGTGTGTTTTAACCTCCTGTAGGATAGGCAACTTAACATACGGAGTATTTAAACAGTATTCTCAAGTCTCCTCAAGTATGGGGTATTCTCAATTCTGCTGATCTCCGACAACGATATTAATATAATTCTGGAAGCTCTAATCAAAGAATATAAGCATAATATAATTGTGCTTTTGTAAACATGTATGAGTGAACTTTATGATGGTTATCTATGTATATGTTTTCTCTAGCACTTTGGTAGAGGTGGGTAGCGGTATTCATCTACTATGGTAGATCATTAGGTAAGAAAATAAATAGAATTTCAAATTAGCACATATTCGTATTATTGAAAAATTGTTTAAATCAACACATATGTTGATGTGTTATATTCCAAGAATTTCTCTTTAAATTGTTTCATGATGAAGAATGCTTCTTCAGAGAATTGCTTTCAGATAATTTTTACTGCCATTCTTCTAGGAAAAATGTGAAACTATATCAATAAAATAGGCCTAGAGGTATATACTATAAAAGTGAGCTGTCCACGTATGAATGAAGATAAAAGTAGTTGATCAATGCCTCCTCCCAGTGTTGACACCATCACCCATCGAGCAAAAAGACAAAAGAGGGAATGTAAAGATACTGGGGGCAAAAATATTGTTAGACAGGAAGTGCCATCTTGAGAGGCCAAATTAAACAAGGAAAGAGAGTCTTTCCTTGTTTAAGAAATTAAGTTTAGTTGGGTTATGTTATTATTTGTCCCAAACTGTCACATGAAATCTTATTTATATTAGAAGTTTTTTAACAATTGTTTCACATTTTAGACTGTTATCGTTAATATTTAATTAAAACTTTCTCGTCTAAGGCACGTTCTGAAAACTATTTTATAGCTACTGTTAGTAAGTGTCAGAAAATTTAAATTTGTCGCATTCACATTTCCGGATACCTCCGCCATCAGAGGCCACTTTTTTGCTCTCCTTTTCATAACGATTAGATTCCCTCTTTTGACTTTTGGCTCGATGGTTGACACACAGAGCAGAAACACCTACTTTAACAAAAGCCTCGGCTACCAAACTGAGAGTCACACAGAGAAGAATGGAGCGATCCATGTTAGGAATAACTCTGCGAGACGAAATAAAAAACGAAGAGGTCAGAAGAAGAACCAAGGTGACTGACATCATCGAAAGTATAGCCCGATTAAAATGGAAATGGGCAGGACACATAACTAGAATGGGAATGGGCAATGGAAAAAGAGTTTATTGTAATGGAGACCAAGGGAAGACAAGGGAAGCGTCGGTCGACCAAATACACGATGGGCGGGCCATTTAAGAAGATGTAATAAAAACTGGATGAGAGTAGCGCAAGATAGACACGGTTCGAAACACGAGGAAGAGGCCTATGTTCAGCAGTAAACTTTTGAGGCTGGATGATGATGATGAGAAGCCCATACACATCTTAAAAACAAAGGCCATTAATACTACTAAAACAAATGTAGATCTACCGGAGAATCCTCAAGATTTCATGGACATCGCATATCTCAAACGAAGAAGTACTGCAGAGGATAAACTAAGAACGAAAACTTTTCGACACAGTGAGAGTTAAAAAAACATCATAGCTAGGTCACATACTGAGAAATAATAAGTATCAATATGCTCAACTAATAGTGAAAGGAAAGATCGAGGGAAAGAGATGACTAGGGAGGAAAAGACTATCGTGACTAAGAAACATCTGACAATGGACAGGGTTAAATTTTGAACAGCTAATACTAACAGCTGAAGACAAGGAAGAGTTTGTAATTGTACTAGCTAACCTCCATTGTGGAGAGGACACTTTAAGAAGAAGAAGCAACCTCTTTGGTTTTTCTCTTTTCACGATCTGGTTCTTTCAAGTAAAATGTAAATTTTTTTTAAATAAATATTACACTACTCTATGCAAATAACACACAACAAAGTATTTTACCGCTACAGGGGACATGAGATTCCTGGATGCCTCGTTTATGTGTTTTTGGATTTTTTTTGGTTCTGGATTTTTTTCTCATATATACCTACCTATAACATTTTATTAACTAACCTATTATAGCTATATCACTTGTCAGGTTGATACCTTATTAATTAGTGTCTGAGCCTTCTGTGCCTTACCGGTTGGTTTTTATCGTAGTTCGTTAAGTTCCTCAGACTTGCATTCGGATGATTTCTTAGTTTGTTGAAGATTCCATACACTTTTTCATTCATTTTATCTAAGATCCCTACCTCTTTGGTTTCTCTGTATACAAAACTTTCGAATACGTATTCGAGAATATTTACAGCCTTCCTTATAATACGGTATTGATCTATTTGTACCTTCTTCCTGTTGGTTTTATAGGATTTGCTCCGAGCTACTGATCCATATGGTATGGTTAGTATGATGATGCTGTTTGCCATCCTTAACTTCATTTTCAGACAACCTGCTATTTCTTCCAATACAAGGTCTTAGCGTGCTTCTTAATATCTTGCCCTTAGTGCTAGTGCTGTTTGCATGTGGTGTGTATGTCATTCTTTTGTTCATTAGCCCTCCTAAATATTTTGTACCATTCTATCTGTGTGTTGAACATCCTCACTTGGCGGTGTGGACCACCGAATCTTTTTTGGAATATGACTGCATGTGACTTTTCTGGGTTTACTGTTATTTTACATTGAATTCACCAATTTTTTACCGATTAACGCATCTTGTAGGCATCTTCTCACGAGATTTGGATCCAAACTTCTCGTTGCTATTGCTGTATCATCGGTATATAGACTGAGCATGGTTCGCGGGTTGGCTGGTATGTTCGCGATATGTATGATATACCGAAAGAGTGACAGCACTCAACGCTATGCCACTCCAGCCTCAATTATTTTGATTTAGACAGGATGTATCCTATCTGAACCATGAACTTTCTATTTGCTAGGTACGATGATAGAAGTAGAGTAGAATTTATGTCTATTTATCTCCGGTGTAACCATCCTATATTTCTTGCTAAATTCCGCGGCTTGTGCATAGCTTGTTTGTTGTGGCCTGTTTTCTGTTATGTTTGTAGTGGCCTGAGCACATGATCTTGTTTTTGGGTCATTATACATCCCTCTTGTGTTTAAAGAACATGCTGGTTGGTTATGATAAAAGTAAAGACAATTGAATCACTGAATAAGCTCCAATTTCCTTCTTTTAACATCTTCTACATGGATTGACATGTAACATAGCCTGGTAGTTTTTCTCAGGAAGCGATGTAGCAATATCGCTTCCTTGCTGACAATCCTCTGAATATCAATCTTGTAGACTTTTCGTAATCGATAGGAAAGGCAACCCAGTCTATGTTGTGCTTCTCCTCACTGTATGTCTCTAGCAGTCGGCACACGTTTTTGTAGCACTTGAAAATTGTCTGATTTCTACTAAACGTTTTTAGTTCGATTCGTTCTGGTCTTCTTATTGGCTTTATGATCTCTTCTGTTGATGGTTTTTGTCTTTTTTTATCCTAATTGGTATTAAAAAGTCTTCCTCCCTCCTTTTAAGAACACTTTCCATTTGGAGCTCTACTATCTTTTTTTTCTTGGTTTTCCTCGATGTACTTATTTTTTCACTTTTTCTTCCTTTTCAATACTACCTACTGTGAATTCAGGTTTACTTTTTTCTTCTAAGTTTTCTAATGTACCTATTTCACCTTCTAAGTACTTCTTCAGTATTTTCTTCATCAGATACATCCATTTTTTCTTTTCCTTTAAGCAATAGTATTTTTGTATCGTTTTGTATTTTGTATTTTTGTATCGTTTTTTACAAAGGTAGTGGCTTCGACCTTTGTAAAAAAAGGTCGAAGCCACGGAAATGGATGCCATCAGAAGATCGATGAGAATATCAAGAGCCGACAGAATACGGAATGAAGTGATAAAACAACAAATGGGTATAGAGGGCAGTATAGTTGAGGATATTGAGAGAAAACAGCTCATATGGTATGGGCATGTAAGCCGAATGGGGGACGAAAGATTGCCTAAAAAAAAACGATAATGTGGCAACCCCCAGAGAAGAGGAAACGAGGAAGACCACCACAGAGCTGAAACCTTTGAGTTAGGAAAGCGATTAGCGCTCGAAATCTGGACGAAGACCTAACTCAAGACAGAATACAGTGGCGTTTGGGAGTCGGACAACGTCGTAAGACCTTATAAAACCGAATATATATATATATATATATATATATATATATATATATTGTATTATTTTTTGTATTATTCTTCATCGATAGTGGCTTGTAATTTATTCATTTGCTTTCTCATAGCAGTCATGACAAAAATACATTCCATTTACAGAGCATATGTTCAAAGCAGAACAAATAACCATAATCAAGAAGTATGTGGTAGATATCGTCAATATGCTGTTTATTGACTGGTTAGACTTACCGTATTACTGTTATGACTTCCACTTACATAGTTAAATCCAATTTAATTAGAAATGGCAGGTAAAATTTGATTTCACGTATAGTGTTTCTGCAACTGGCTTATACGTATTTCATCCTTTTTAGGACTCATCGGAGCACCTCAGTAGCAAACTCTAAACGTGAAATCAAATCTTTTCCGCCAAAGGAAGTAATAATGAAATAACTTCCCAAATA